CAGGTTGATGAAGTTCCCTTCTATTCCTAGGTTGCTGAAAATTTTAAAATCAGGAATGTGTGTTAGAATTTGTCAAATGCTTTTTTCTCCGTCTATTGAGATGATCATACGGTTTTTCTTTCCAATCTTTTAATATAATTAATTACAATGATTGATTTTTGAATGTTAAACCAACTTTGCATTTACGGGATAAACTCCACTTGGTCATGATATATCCTTTTTTATATTATTGGATTCAATTTGCTAACATTTGTTAAGAATTTTTATGTCTGTGTTCATGGGGGATGTTTGTCTGAAGTTTTCTTTTCTTGTAATATCTTTTCCTGGTTTTGGTATTAAAATAATGCTCCTAGAATGAGTTGGAATGTCATTTCTCCTCTTCAATTTTCTGGAAGAGTTTATTTAGAGTTAGAATGATTTCTTCCTTAATGTGTTTGGTAGAATTCTTCAGTGAAACCACCTGGGCCTGAAGTTTTCTTTATTGGAAGGTTTTAACTTGAATTCGATTTCTTTAAAAGATATAGGGCTATTCAGGTTATCTACTTCTTCTTGAGTGAGCTTTGGTAGTTTGTATCTTTCAAGAAATTTGTTCATTTCATCTAAGTTGTTGACACAACAGCAATAAAAATTTATTGGCACGAAGTTATTATATTCTCTTATTCTGCTTTTTAATATATGTAGAATCTGTAGTGATATTGGTATTACCTGATATTGCTAATTTGTGTCTTCTTTTTTTTCTGATCAATTTGGCTAGAGGTTTATCAATTTTATTGATCTCAAATAACTACCTTTTGGTTTCATTGATTTTTCTCTATTTTTCTATTTTCTATTTCATTGACTTCTGGTCTGACCTTTATTTTCTTTCTTCTGCTTTCTTGGGTTTCACTTTTTCTCATTTCTTAAGGTAGAAATTGAGCTCATTGATATGAGACTTTTCCTTTTTTCCAATGTAGGTGTTTAGTGCCATAATTTCCCTCTAAGTAGTATACCTTCTGAGTTCTCTATCCAATGCCCCATGGATTATGAGATTTTCTATTCTAGCTGCTAGGAAAAGGCATTATTCTCAGCTCTGTGCAAGCTTCAGGAATTTTTCCTGTAATCCTTTTGGATGGTTCTTTCCTTTGCCTCTGGTCACATGTACTGGTCAGTACTCAGTTGAATTCTCTAGGGGGACCCTCTGTGGTTCTCCAGATTTATCTCTCCTTGTAGCCCTCATCTATTTAATACCCTGCACTGAGAACTCTAGCCATATTAGCCTGCTAGACTCAAAGCTCTGTCTCCTCTCAACTCAGGGAAACCACCAGACTCTGCCTGGTGTCCCCTTTCCTGCATTACAGCTGGGAGACTCTCTTGTCTGTAAGCTGAGGCAGTCACTGGGCTCACATCTTTTGTTTCTCATCTCTTAGGGATTACTCTCCTTTATTGCCTATGTCCAGTGTCTTGAGAATTGTTGTTTCTTACATTTTATTTGTTTTTTTTTAGTTATTTCAAGTGTCTGAACTAATTTTTTTAAATTTTTTAACTTTTGGTGAGGAAGACTGGCTCTTAGCTAACATCTGTTGCCAATCTTCCTCTTTTTGCTGAGGAAGATTGGCCCTGAGCTAACATCTGGGCCCATCTTCCTCTATTTTGTACGTGGGATGGTGCCACAGCATGGTTTGATGAGCGGTGTGTTGGTCTGCACCTGGGATTTGAACCTGCGAACCCTGGGCCGCCGACGTGGAGCATGCGAACTTAACCACTACGCCACTGGGCCAACCCCACGTCTGAACCATTTTTCCACGCACTTGTGACGCCAAATGTATGGGTGTTTTTTTCCACACCAACAACCAGTTCTCCAACTCTCTGGACACCAACTGGGTGTCCTATAATTTAATTCAATTCTGACACCACCTACTTGGAGTTAGTGTCAGATGCCACAGGTTTAAGAGCTCAGTCCCACTAGACTGTCCTCACTTCAGATGCCAGTCGGAAGTGTTAGTCCCAGAGTACCCACACTTCTGTCTAACATGGTTACAAAATTGGGAGTTCCCACAACTCTCCTCCCTTTCAGGTTCAATAATTTGCTAGAACTGCTTACTGAACTCAGGAACGTTCTTTATTTACATTTACCAGTTTATTATAAAGGATACCACTCAGGAACAGCCAAATGGAAGAGAGGCACCTGGCAAGGTATGGGTGAAGGGGCGTGGAGCCCTCTTGTCCTCTCCAGGTGCACCACTCTCCCAGCACCTCAGTGTGTTCATCAACCTAGAAGCTCCCTGAACCCTGTTGTTTAGGGTTTTTAATCAAGGTCTCATGTAGGTATGATTTATTAAATCATTAGCCACTGGTGATTAATTCAATCACTAGCCCCTCTCCCCTCCTCCAGAGAGTGGGGTAGGGCTGAAAATTCTAAGCATTTAATGATGCCTTGGTCTTTCTGGTGACCAGCCCTCATCTTGAAGCTACCTATGGGCCCCCAGTTACCCATCATCTAATTAGCGTATGAAAGGCACTCTTATCACTCCAGAGATTCCAAGGGTTTTTGGAGCTGTGTGCCAGGAACTAAGGACAAAGACCAAATATTTATTTTTTATTATATGACAAGGTGGGAGCATAAATCCAGTCCGTTATTCTACCTTGGCCAAATGCCAGATTAAAATTTTACAAGTTGTGTTAATTCACAGATGTATGTATATATGTTTTCCCAGATATGATTACAGGTTAGTATTATTGCATCATAAAACTAAACTAAGGAGAATGCAAGTAGAAAACAAAAACAGCACTTCTCAAAAACCCCAACTTTTAACTGACTACGGCGATTTATTCTCAGAAGAGCTCTGTATACCTAATTCTACGTGGAAACATTTATTAATGCTAATGGTTAATTTAAATTAATAATATTTCTGGAAGATAAACACAGATGAAAGAAAATTTACAAATTTTTATACTGTCAAACTTTTATACAGCTTTCAAAAATGGAAATAAGTTGCTTGTGGCTACAGAAGACTCTAGATTTATATTAACTAGTGAAATCTTGGGTAATGTTGTAGTGTCATATAAGTTCCTAAACCAATTTCATATTTATGTGCCCCTCCTGTCCCCCTCCACCAAAAAGAACACCCCAAAACTCCACAGGCCTATGGAGCTGGTCACTGTAAGAAGGAATGCCATAGGTAGTAGAGGGGCTACGTTTAATTTGGTGTCCTGGAGAAGTCAACTATGTTATCTACTTTTTATATAAAATAGCTGCCTGCTGGGATTGAGGACCTAGAATTGGATTTTAAAATAAAAATGAACAACATCATGGACAACAACAAAATCGGTGGCCATAGCTCTGATGATTAATGGTACCAAGAATATAGCCTCACCTGTTTTGGGAGTGTTCTTGCAGAACCTGGAGATGTATTCCCCATTGGGAAACCATGCAAAAACTTTGTGCTGTTACAATCAGTTCCTGGGAGGCTGTGTTCAGAGAGGCTCTTTTAGCCATTTTCATTTTCTTTATGTTTAGTTATGAGGGCTCAATTCAGAGTTTCTATCATTATTTATGTGTATTTAAGACAGAAATGGGTAGAGCACATGGAAGTACAAGCAATTTTTTCCTATCCTATTTCATAGTTAGTTAAATAAAAGGAGAGGGAAAGGAAAATCAACATGGGAGAATTTCCTAAGAAGGTCTACTTTCTTAATAAAAGCTTAACAAAAGCCAGAGGGGATGAGGCTGTGCCTGACTCCTTGTAAAGAATTGAAGATGCTCCCTCAGGGTCTCATGCTGCCATCAGCGAATATCAGTGCCCAGCAGGCTGTAAGCCCCTTGAAAGCAGAGTCCACATTCATAATGAACTTTTAATTCTTTCAAAGAGGTGTGTAAATTTACAGAATGTTAGGAGTTGTGTTAACATTCTTCTAAAATTATTTAATTCTTCATTAAATAATTTCTTAGTGATTCAACATGTCTGTGGAAAGGTGTGACATAGAGGCTGCAACAGTTTATTAGGTATGCTGTCTACTGCACACTCTTGTAATTCATATAGGATGGATATATGATGTGATCAGAAGAAATGAGAAAACAATCTTTGGGCGCTGAATAACTAAAGCAAGCTGAAGGAGTTAGGAATAGGAAAGTCACTATTAATGGGACTCTCAAAGAGATAACCATAAAAGAAAATAGGACACCAGAATGACGAGTTCTTGACTTGGAGTGTACTGCCTGCTAAAAGGATGATGAAGAAGAATTCAACGGCTTAAAAAGGGCTTTAAACTGAATTTGGGGAGGAAGGGAGATGAATGCTCAGATAAACTCATAGACCTTGCTAATACACAATAAGGCAAAGATAAATTAGAAAAAAAGAATGTCTGGCAGGTAATAGATACTCAGTATTTGTTTAACGAGTGAATACGTGAGCCAGTGAGTAGTGAAAGAGCATGCTTGAGGTTCCTGTGAGTCTCACGTTGAGTAAATGAGACCCCTCAGTGCTCGTGTGGCTGTATAACTAACACCTAGAGTATGGATGCTGATGGGCAGGAAACTGAAAAAAAAGCTTAAAAAGAGGATAAGCTAGTGGTATTTTATTTTTGGACAAAGTAGAGAATAGAACAATAACTGACCTCCTATTTGGCTTTTGACAATGATCACTTAAAAAGACGAAAGAGAAGGCAGGGAGAGAGGGCTTGTCAGCTAGTTTCAAGTGTTTGAAGGGGTTTCTCTTAAGAAAGGGATTACATTTATTTCATGATTCCAGAGAACAAGGAGGAAGAAAATATCCACCTGTTCAGCCAGATTAGCCAAACAAATCTTCACTCTCGGTTGCAGTCAGATCAGCCCTTACATGCTCAGTATGAAGCCGTGGGGAGTGAGGTTGTCTGGGAAAGAGTGAAGAGCAAGAACACGGCCGCGGGTGCATCCTTTACCATAAGTGACTGTAACTCAGCTACGCAATCAACCATGTCTGTACATTTAAGTTATAATTTTGGTCTTATAATTTATAATATTTCTTTTCATTTGTCTTTTATAGGTGTGATTCTAATCAAAGCCCAGATTTTAGAGCTCGTGTTTCCTACGACAACAGCTCAGAAGATAGTTCTAAATGCTCACAGCTCTCTGAAGAGTATTTTCTCTTCTCTTCCCAACATCATATATACTGGCTGTGCAAAATGTGGATTGGAACTAGAAACAGATGAGAATAGGATCTACAAACAATGTTTTAGCTGCTTGCCATTTACTATGAAGAAACTATACTATAGGTAAGGCAACTAAGCAAGCCATTTAGGTGGAAAATATTTATTATTATAGGACTGGAAATGACCAAAAAATGACATATATCAATTCTTACTTTCTAACAAGGACTAACTAGAGCTAATCCAAGAGAATTAATTTTTCCCATGAGTGATAAATAGCTATTTTTGAAAGCAAAAATTGCTGAGTAATAATAACAGGAATTTTTAAAAGTAGTAATTGGGAGATTTTATTGTCTTCAAGCAGTTATATTGAAGAAAATTTTTACTTGGTGTACATTTTTAACTAAAATCTAAATGGCTCATAAGAAAATCATTTCCGTCCTTTAACATATAATTGAAATTTAAAGTTAAAAGTATTACATATGATCTAACCTCTGCGTTGTAGAAGCTAGTAAGATGTTTAACCTTTCTGTACCACAGTTTTCCCAACTTCACATTAGAAATTCAAGATAGCAAATGTTCTATGGTAAAATTGCCAACCAGCCCAGAGAAAAACATGTTGTTTTTCAAATAGTAAATGTTCAAAGTCTTGGATAATCTTTTTCTTTTTACCTTATAAATTACATGCCTTTACAAAATAGCACAAAATGGCAGTGTTTTATGCTCTCTTCTATTTCTACATACTGCAGTATCTAAAAACTAAATGTAAATATATTCAGCATGTTATCATGGCATACTTTAAGAAAATTTATAGATGCTTAGTCCATAAACCTTATTTCCCTTTACATATATTTATGTTTGTTATAAATAAGTAAATGAATTTTGCTCTTACTTTGAAAGTTGCCAGTATGGAAAAGAAGAATGAATTATGATGCATATAAATAACAAATGTAATTCATTAAAATTGATTTCTTATCAACAGTTAAGTCCCCTTAGAGAGACAGTGTGTGTGTGTGTGTGTGTGTGTGTTTATTTTATATCATTCCTAATGTTCCTAATCAATATAATTATTTATTGGACAAAAATGTTGCCCAATAAATATCCCTAATGGAGAGGAGGGACTTTGAATCTTCAGTCTAAAGAATGACTGCTCAAGAGAAGGATTTCACAGATCAGTATCACCTAATTATGGTATAACTTAGTGTGAGGTATATAAGATATAGTCCTAAACTGTACCACGTTAAAGATGTAGTGCTAATTTTTTGTGTAACTAGAATGTTGAATAGACATGCTAAAGCAAGAGTTATTTTGTTCATTTATTTAAAAGCCTTTAAATTGTTTTTAGGTTTAAGGTCCAGATTATTTGGTTTCCTGGAAAAGAAAATTTTGAGATTAAATAACAGGTACCCTTCTAATTATCAAGTATGTGATTCAGAAATCATTTGCATAAGTCAGTCAGCAAACTGAATAAGAGAAAGCTCTGACTGCTTCTTTTTCTAAGACTATCAAATAGTTATTAGGTATCCATATATACTCCCTCAGGGTCTCATCCTGCCATCTGATATTCAGTACTGGAGATTGATTAAGTATACTTTTGTACTCAAAAAACTTAGTACACTCATTTACAAAAGACTTAATGAACATTTGTGTGGCATGACAGCTCCCAACTGTAAGTGGATCTATCGCATTTTATGTTGGTTGTTTGTAACTTGGAATCAATTTTCCGATGGAAACAATGTTAGATATTGTGGTTGGAGTCTCATACCAGCCCACAAAGGCTTATTTTATCCAGAAGAACATGTAGATAGTATAGTTACTGTTCTTAAAGCTATTATAGAACTTGAACACCATCTTTAACAATGTTTCTATAGGACGTATATTCAAGATTACATTTTAGGAACACAAGAAATACAGAAAATACATTTTCTGTGCTAGAAGCAAAGAAACCAACAGGTCACACCATTAGTCAAGGCTCCTACTGAGGCAGCACTAGAGGGTCGTTGGGTCTCTCACGAGGCTGTAGTGAAGGTGTAGCCTGGGGTGCAGTCATCTGAAGGCTTGACTGGGGTTGGAGGATCCATTTCCAAGGTGGCTAACTCATACAGCTGGCAATTTGAGTTCCTCCTTGCATGGATGTCTCCACAGGCTGCCTGAATATTCTCACAAAATGGCAGCTCATTTCCCCAGAGCAAGTGAACCAAGATAATGTGAGGTGGAAGCTATTCTTTTTAAGCTCTAACCTCAGACATCACATGGCATGACTTCTGCTAAATTCTGTTCATTAGAAGCAAGATTAGCTGTACAGTGGAGAATGGATTAGAATGAGGCTAAGTACAGAGAAGAGTTAAGAGGCTGTTGCCTTATGTTTGGGGGAGAGATGATGGTGGTTTGACTAGAGTATAAGTGGTGGGAATGGACAGATTTAAGAGTAGTTGGGAAGTAGACTTGGCAAGATTTAGTGATAGAGTAGCAGGTAAAGGCAGATCATGGGTACATGATAGATCATTGACAATTTGATGAATAATAAGATTATTTACTAAAACAAGTAACCATGGGAGAAGTGCTGATTCATATTGAGTTTGAGGTGCTGAGAGGCAAAAAGCTGGAAAGTAGTTGAATATACAGAAATGCAATTCATAAAAGAAATCTGAGCTAGGTTTATAAGCATGAGAATTATCTATGGTGATCAAACTCTTCATTGGTTTCTGCATCCTGTTTTGTTTTGCCGCCTTAGTCTTTGGTTATTACCTCTCCTAATAGTTCATTCCTATCAGCCTATGAGCACACTCTAGTATCTCTCAGATTAAAAACACATAAACAAAATCATCCCCTAACATTACATCTCGCTCTTATCACCCAAATTTTCTGCTCTGTTTTGTATCTTGCTCTGTTTTGTAGCCAAACTCTGTTAGAGTTGTAAAGATATTCTTTGTCTACTTCTACATCTCCAAATTCACTTCAGCTTACTCCATCGACTCCCACCATGCCACTGAACTGCTCTCGTCAAGGTTAGCAACAATTTTGATGTTGCCTAATCCATTGGACACTTCTCTTCCTCCTTAAATTTAATCTCAGTTACATCTGTCAACTTAAAAAAGGAAATTTGCCTGTTATTTTATCTCAAAATGAGTTTTTTTGGGATTGGACATAAGAATTGCAATTCAGGATGTGTACGGTATGGCAAACCACGGGCAAATCTGGAAAAGAAAGGAGGGGAACTGCTTTTATAGAGAAAAAGGGAGAGTAGGGAGGTGGTGTTCTAAACAAAAGTCCACTGGGGGAAAGTGACAGTTCAGGGCGGCAAAGGCTTCTCATTGGTTGAGCTGCGGCATCTCTCATTGGCTGGGCTGTTGCCTGGTGGGGAGAGAAATATTCCTTCAGTAGTAAAGTAGTTTTACTTCCTGCAAAGTAAAGATGCAAGTGGTCTGTCTCTTCCTGTTTGATGTAATTGACGATGTGTGCTAGGGTGTGAGAGCTCTCCCTACAGGCCTTCCTGACTCCAATCTAGTTAAGGTTTCTTTTGTTAATTTCCACACATTCAACATATTAGACTACTTTCTCCTTCTTGAAACAGCCTCCTCACTTAGCGTCAATGACACTGCTTCGCTTGGCTTTCTGACCTACCTTTCAGACTCTTCCTTCTCAGCCTCTTGTTCTATCCACTTTACTTATTTATTTTATTGTGGTAACATTGGTTTATAACATTATATAAATTTCGGGTGTACATCATTATATTTTGATTTCTGTGTAGATTACATCATGTTCACCACCCAAAGACTAATTACAACCCATCATCACACACATGTGCCTAATCATCCTTTTCCCCCTCCTCCTTCCCCCCTTCCCCTCTGGTAACCACCAATCCAATCTCTGTCTGTATGTGATTGTTTGTTGTTGTTTTTATCTTCTACTTATGAGTGAGATCATACAGTATTTGACTTTCTCACTCTCACTTATTTAGCTTAGCATAATACCCTCAAGGTGCATCTGTGTTGTCACAAATGGCCAGATTGCATTGTTTTTTATAGCTGAGTAGTATTCTGTTGCATGTTTATACCACATCTTCTTTATCCATTTCTCCCTTGATGGGCACCTATGTTGCTTCCAAGTCTTGGCTATTGTGAATAATGCTGCAGTGAACATAGGGCTGCATGTATATTTACTCATTGGTGTTTTCATGTTCTTTGGATAAATACCCAGCAGTGGAATAGCTGGATCATATGGTAGTTCTATTCTTAATTTTTTGAGGAATCTCCATACTGTTTTCCATAGTGGCTGCACCAGTTTGCACTCCCACCAGCAGTGTATGAGAGTTCCCTTCTCTCCACATCCTCTCCAACACTTGTTGTTTCCTGTCTTGTTAATTATAGCCATTCTGATGGGAGCAAATTGATATCTCGTTATAGTTTTTTTTTTTTTTTGAGGAAGATTAGCCCTGAGCTAACATCTGCCACCAATCCTCCTCTTTTTTGCTGAGGAAGATTGGCCCTGGGCTAACATCCGTGCCCATCTTCCTCTACTTTATGAGACGCCGCCACAGCACGGCTTGGTAAGCGGTATGTAGGTCCGTGCCTGGGATCAGAACCTGTGAACCCCAGGCCACCGAAGCGGAGTGCGAGAACTTAACTGCTATGCCACCAGGCTGGCCCCTTATTGTGGTTTTGACTTGCATTTCCCTGATAGTTAGTGATGTTGAACATCTTTTCATGTGCCTGTTGGCCATCTGTATATCTTTAGATATATGGAGAGAGAAATGTCTGTTCAGATCTTTTGCCCATGTTTTAATTGGGTTGTTAGTTTTTTTGTTGTTGAGTTGTATGAGTTCTTTATATATTTTGGATATTAACCCCTTATCAGATTTATGGTTTGCAAATATCTTCTCCCAATAGTTAGATTGTCTTTTCATTTTGTTGATGATTTCCTTTGCTGTGCAGAAGCTTTTTAGTTTGATGTAGTCTCATTTGTTTATTTTTTTTATTGTTTCCCTTGCCCAGTGAGACATGGTACTTGAAAATATGCTGCTAAGACCGATGTCAAAGAGTGTACTGCCTATGTTTTCTTCTAGAAGTTTCATGTCTTACATTCAAATCGTTAATCCATTTTGAGTTAATTTTTGTGTATGGTGTAAGATAATGGTCTAATGTCATTCTTTTGCGTGTGGCTGTCCAGTTTTCCCAGCACCTTTATTGAAGAGACTTTCCTTTCTCCATTGTATGTTCTTGGCTGCCTTGTCGAAAATTAGCTGTCCATAGATGTGTGGGTTTATTTCTGGGCTCTTCATTCTGTTCCATTGATCTGTGTGTCTGTTTTTGTGCCAGTACCATGCTGTTTTGGTTACTATAGCTTCGTAGTATATTTTGAAATCAGGGAGTGTGATACCTCCAGCTTTGTTCTTTTTTCTCAGGATTCCTTTGGCTATTCAGGGTCTTTTGTTGTTCCATATAAATTTTAGGATTCTTTATTCCATTTCTGTGAAAAATGTCATTGGAACTTTGATAGGGATTGCATTGAATCTGTAGATTGCTTTAGGAAGTATGGACGTTTTAACTATGTTAATTCTTCCAATCCAAGAACATGGAATATCTTTCCATTTCTTTCTGTCTTCTTCAGTGTCTTTCAACAATGTTTTATAGTTTTCGGTGTACAGGTCTTTCACCTCTTTGGTTAAATTTATTTCTAGGTATTTTATTCTTTTTGTTGTGATTGTAAATGGGATTGTATTATTTTTTTTTTTCATTATTATTTTTTTTTTTGTGAGGAAGACTGGCCCTGGGCTAACATCCATGCCATCTTCCTCCACCCCATATGGGACGCTGCCACAGCATGGCTTGACAAGCGGTGTGTCGGTACACGCCCAGGATCCGAACTGGTGAACCCCAGGCCGCCGCAGCAGAGTGTGCGCACTTAACGGCTTATGCCACCGGGCTGGCCCCAATGGGATTGTATTCTTAATTTCTCTTTCTGCTACTTCATTGTTAGTGTATAGAAACACAACTGATTTATGTATGTTGATTTTGTATCCTGCAACTTGACTGTATTCATTTATTATTTCTAAAAGTTTTTTGGTGGATTCTTGAGGGTTTTCTATATATAAAATCATACCATCTGCAGATAGTGACAGTTTCACTTCTTCCTTTCCTATTTGGATTCCTTTTATTTCTTTTTCTTGCCTGATTGCTCTGGCTAGGACTTGGAATACTGTGTTAAATAAGAGTGGTGAGAGTGGGCATCCTTGTCTGGTTCCTGTTCTATCTACCTTTAAATGTTGGAGTGAATCCTGAGTCGTCTTCTTTGTCCTTCCTCTTTATTTGTTCTTTCTGTATATTCTTTCTGGATGATCACAACTATTTCCATGTTTTTAAATATCATCTATATGCTGGTGATTTTCATTTATGTCTTCACCCTGGCTTTCTCCTCTAAGCTCCAGTATGCAAATATTGAATTTTCTGCTTGATCGTCCTACTTGAATGACTTATAAGCATCACACACTTAAAAATACACAAATGGACTCTTGTTTTTCCTATCCATACCAAAACTTGGTTCTCCCCATTTTTATACTTAATAAAGGGCACGACCGTCTACCCAATTAAGCTATAAACCTGCACATGATCCTTGAATCATTCCTTTTTTCTTACCTCCCATGTCTAATCTACTGGCAAGTGACTTTTCACCCAGAACTATATCACAAATTCATCCACTTTTTTCCATCTTCACTGCTAGCATCTTAGTCTGTTGTTCTTCCACAGAGGCACTATAGACATTTTAGGCAGGGTGATTTCTTATTATGTAGGATATCCCACACATTGCAGAGCATGTGGCATCCCTGCCTACCTTGCCTGGCTGAAACCCCAGTTACTGTGAAACCAGAATGGGAAGTCAGTACCTCCTGGTCTAGAACCGCTTGGGTCACATGTCAGACTGTCACAGCAGTAGTCTCTTAGCTGGTCTCCTGCCTTTGCCTCCTCTAGCCCATTCTCCACATATCTGACTGAGTGATCACTCCTTTCCTTAAAAACCTGTCAGTGGTTTCCCATTACACTTGTTGCCTCTGCAATCTTGTCTGCTGCCACTCCTTCCCATGCTCATTACGTCCCAGCCATACTGGCCTTCTTTCAGTTCTCTAGATGCTCTGATTTTTTTCTCCTTAGAGCTTTCTTGCATGCTCTTCCCTCTGCTTGACTCCACAAGGCTGGCTCCTTCATATCTTAGTTTAAATGGCGCTTCATCAGAGAGGCCTTCTTAATCCCCCTCCTTTATTTTCTGTTACAGTACCCTGTGTGTGCAATTTGTAGTTTTTTACTTGCATATCATTTTTTCTGGAAAAAATTTTTACTGAGAAATCATTCACATATCGTCAAATTAGCCCATGTAAAATATACAATTCAGTCGTTTTAGAATATTTGCAGGGTTGTGTAAATGTCACCACCGTCAATGTTAGGACATTTTCATGATCCCTTCCCCTAAAAACCCCATACCCATTATCAGTCAATCCTCATGCTCTCCTCTCCCCAACTCAAAGCAACCGCTGATCTACTTTCTGGCACTGTAGATTTGCTCATTTTGGGCATTTCATGTAAATGTAATCATACGCTGTGCATTCCTTTGTGACTGGCTTTTTTCACTTGACATGTTGTCAAGGTTCATCCATATTGTAGTATGTATCAGTACGTCAGTTCTTTTTATCGCCAAATACTATTTAACAGTATGGATAAACCACATTTTGTGTATCCATTTGTCATTTGATGGACATTTGGGTTGTTCCTACTTTTTGGCTGTTATAAATAATTCTGCTGTGAACACTTATGTGCAAGTTTTTGTATGGACATATGTTTTCATTTCTCTTGGGTGTGTACTCAGGAGAAGAATTGCTGGGTTGTGTGGAAACTATGTTTAACCTTTTGAGGAACTGCCAACTGTTTTCCAAAGCTGCTGCACAATTTACATTCTCACCAGCAATGTGTGAGGGTTGCCGTTTCTCCACATCCTTGTCAACACTTTTTAGTATTTGTTTTTCTTTTTGTTGCTTGTGCTTTTGGTATCATATCTAAGAAAGCTATCATTCCTAAGCCAAGATCATGGAGATTTACTCCTATATTTTCTTCTAAGAATTTTATAGTTTTAGCTCTTATATATAGGTTCATGATCTATTTTGTTTATTTTTGTATATGATGTAAGGAAGGGGTCCAACTTCATTCTTTTGCATGTGGATATCCAGTTGCCAGCACAATTTGTTGAAAAGACTATTCTATCCCCATTGAATCATCTTGGCACCATTGCGAAAAGTTTATTGTTTTCCTATCCCACTAAACCCTTACATTCCTTGAGTGAAGGAAGCAGATCTGCCTTGTTCACTAGTGTATAGCCAGGGCTTAGCATAGGTCGTGGTACACGGGAGATGCTGTGCTTGTATTTTTTGAAATAAGGCATGGAGGGAGAGACATAGCCTGGGGAGAGCGCATAGAGTGCAAAAGAGGAAGGACCTAGAATCATCATGTGGGTAAGGGGGAAGTAGGTTTTTAGAGGGAAATCAGTAATCATGTTTTAGCTATTACACTAAATTCTCCCATATTAATGAGTCTGTTTCTAAATTCTCTTCTCAATTTATTTTTTTAATTAATTTATTTTTAAAAGAGATAATATATACCTGGTAGAAATGCAAACTATAGAGGCAGGTATAAAACAAAAAGTAAAAGTCTACCACACCCACCCCCTACACCATCAACGCTACTTCCATGCTCGTTAGGAGTTTCTGTATATTCTTCCAGACATTTATGCTCATAGCAGCACAGGCATATCCCTTTCTTTACAAGTACATAGAATAATTTATTCATATTGTTTTGTTCATATTGTTTGTTCCTAAGAGTATATGACACTTCTTCCCTAGTAGCACTTATAAATCTTCCTCATTCTTTTTAGCAGCCACATAGTATTCCATTGTGTGATGTACTGAAAATTATTTATCTAGTTCCCTATTTATTGACATGTAAAACAGTTTGTTTTTGATAGGATTCTTCCAGTGGAAAAAAATAACTTGAAATTGTGATTGTGAAATATGTGATTATCATCTTTATTTTTATTTCTAAAAGTAATTTACACAACAGTATAAGATAACATGTTTTCTTATATTAGTATGTGAAATTTTAAAATAAATATGGAATAAATCAAAGTTATTAATTTATCATTTTAAACTCTTAAAAAAAAGCCTTTCTCTTATTTCTAGGATATTTCAGAACATCTTAGAGTTGTTTTAAGAATTAAACTTAAACCCTGCATAAAAACTCAGTACTTTTTGAAATTATATTGCATTTAAGCATTTCTTGAATTTGAACATCTTTTTGAAGGTCATGTGCTATTTACTCTTTTGTAGGCCAGCTTCAATGACCATAGGTGATGGAATATATAAGGTGTGCATCCATGTAGGATCAAAGCTGATAGAGAAGATTCTTCTCAACATTTCTCCTGACTGGCTCAGTAGAGTTATAGGTAAGATATCAACACACCATCAAGAGGTTGTTCTTGGTGAAACCGTTCGTTTCAGGAGTGTAGATAGTATTTGGAACAGAAAGAACACTATAGTGTAAATTAAGGGTTTTTTTCTGTCGGTATGAAAGCAGAAGGATAATTTAGCTTGAGGGAAACACCAGACTATGTAAATTGGAAGGTAAGAACTGCTCTGCACCTGTCTCAGCACAGGAATAGAGGGAAGCAAGCACTGAATCTCTTCTTACCCAAGTTCCCAATTGGTAAGCAACAACACTAGGACTGTAGTTTTATAATAGTTAAGTAAATGAATGTGCGACACTCTGTATATGAAGATAGTCCACTGTCGATGGGGTGGGTTTGCAGGATTTTCAGCCATGAATAGGTATAGTCAGTGGCTAACAGCGAAGTGAAGATAACCCATTTGTCAGATGATCAAACTCCATACCTTTCCTCATTAGTCTCAGACTCTCTAAGCAGATGAGCTAATTTGGTTCTATTGATTGCTCTATCTCTTAATAGTGGATGATTTTTCTCTTGCTTTCTTTGTGTGTCTAGTAATTTTTGCTTGAGTTCTGAACATTGCATATGGAACAATACAGACTGAGGTAAACAGTTGTTGTACCTGGAAATGGGCATCCCTGTTTTCCTAGACCTAGACCTTTACTGTGGGTCAGGGGTGGGCAGAGTAGAGTCGATCTTGTCAGATGTTGAGTGGATTCCAGTTTGTTATTGCTGTGGTTATCTTCAGGTCTCCCCTGGCTTCAGATTCCTCTAGCACTATCTTGTGCTTATGATGGGGAGTGGTTTGCCAGAGAGTTTTCCCCAATATTCCTGCTCTACCATCAGCTTTAACCCCTCACTCTGCACCTGGGCCTCAGAGAGAGTTTCTCTCCATGTCCTTGCACCTCCCCAAGTTGTACAGGCTCTGTTGGTTGTTATTTGCTGCATCCTAGCCTGGTGGGAGGGGCAGGAGTGATTCTCTTTGATTCTGGCCCAGCCCTAGTCTTACACAGGCCCTGTGTCTCTGGGTCTTGGATGTGGCACTTTCTCAGTGACACTGCCTCTCCTGCTGTGGCTCTGCCTGGTATCTTTGGTGGGTCTTGTGTGGTCCTTCCCCTCTCCCAGCAGTAGGGCACCACTACTGGTCTTGATCTAGGGTGGTTTTCTGCCTCTCCCCCAGGTATACAGGGATTTTTTTTTTACCGTTCCTCCATCTTCAGTGGGTCCTCACCCGTACCCTGGGACAACAAGATTTTCCAGCCTTCCTCCAGCAGTTTGAGGCTTTTGTTCTTCAGGGAGTGGTCCTGAGTGGTGTTTAGTGCTTTTCCTTATGATGGGTTCTCCCCTTCTGCAGGCCTTCACCATAGTTGGAAGCTTTCTCTGATGTCTTGCCCTTTGTCCAGTCACATGAGCACCTGGTGGAGATGAGAAGAGCCTGTGAGGAAGCCAGCTCCCCTTGTCTGTGGCACTGGCCCACACTTGGCTTTTAGCAATTCATTAAAAGTTTAAGTGCATTCTTCCTTATTGCTCGTCTGGTAGACCTGTCTTCTTTCTGAGTTCTGCCCCAGGTAAACCTGTGCTCTTGTTCTCTTTCCTTACATTTCAGTCTCCTTGGCTGCTGCACAACCTCTTAATAGGTTCAAGAAAATTGTGATTTTGTAGTTTATTCATCTTTTCCTAATAATTGTTAGGGCAGGAGCCATGCTCTTCCCAGCTTTCTGCATCCTAATCGGAAGTCTCTCTGTTCTTTTTTAATTCACTTTCTTTATTAGTTTTCATTCTTTTGGCTGTTTTCATTCCTTTTCTCAATGTTCTTTATTATATTTTCAGTCTTGTCTCTTTATTTTTTGCACAATGTCAATTAGTCTTTATTTCTCAGAGAAGCCTCATTCTCATATCAAGTATACATCTGTGTTTTGCCCATTCCTGAGACAATTAAAGACATACTTCTTGGCATTAATTAAATTGTAATCATAAGTGAAAATGTAGGCACCAATTATAAAGTGGTCATCAGACCACTCAGATTATCACTAATCTTGATTTTTTTTAGCTTGAAAATACAAAAGTGAGAATACAAAAATTTTAAGTGTTGCAGAGAATTCTTACACCTCAAAAATATGTCATTGGCCCTCCAGGAGTCTGTAGACCAATCCAAGAAAGGCTGGTGGTGTTGGTCAGGGAACTAGTTTAGTGTGAGCCTAGTTGATGGTGCCTTGTCAGTCTAATACTGAGCAACCTGCAAAATAACTTGATTTGATGTCCTTAAAAAGTAAGAGGAAGAATATATGCAAAGGGCAAATGCAAAATACAATGACATATCTATCTATAATTTTAGTATTTTTATATTACCAAGATTTGATATTCATTAAGTAACTGATTCAGGGTTCTGTGATATAAACAATAATTATATGTATGTATAACTGTGATAAGAGCTGTAGACTGGATAAATATGAGAAGACTTTTCTGATATGGACACGCCCTTTTGGTTTCAGGCTTAACTTAGGAAAACATGAATCACAGTTCTTTCCTCTGTTATTTTAAGAAGCCTAGAGCTGGACCATCATAGGAAGTACCTTCTCCCCAGGGTCAGCAGGAATTGTGTGTCATCATTCTAGAGTACCTTCAGCAACCTGTAATGAGAAAGAGAAGGACAGAAAGAGAGATTTAAAGTGGGTTATGCAGAAATAGAAGTACAATGATGTACACCTGAAATTTTTGCAATGTTATAAACCAATGTTACTGCAATAAAGTGGGTTTGGGACTTGAGAAACCAAGAGAAACAATGAAGCCTTCCACGTGTGCATTTCTATCAGCCTGGCAGGGCCGCTAAGCGCTGTGTGTGTGTTCTTCCTCCTCAGCACCCTCCGCAGAGGTCACCTACGGCATGGTCGCAGCGGACTTGCTCCACTCCTTGGTGGCGGGCAGCGGCGATCCCTGTGTGGTGACGGTGCAGAGCCTCTTTGTGTTGGATGAAAACAGCTACCCGATGCAACAAGATTTCTCCCTGCTGGATCTTTATCCTGTTGATGTAAAGCACGCATCCACGCCTTCTCTGAGACCAGAAGGAGAAACTGCAGGCACTTCAAGGACGACAACGGAAATGATTTGTCTTTTGAAATAAATGAATGACAGGGCTTTTGCTTGGGGTTTTAAATAAAAATATTTTATAAACAGAATTGTGCTAAATATAATAAATTAAAACTTTTTTTCTGAGAAAAATCTGTGAGGGTTTTTGTTAGTTTCATCTCTTTCGTTCTTCTAGAGAAATGATCTAGCAATAAAGGCAATCCATAGCAGGTCCTTAGGATTGAAAGGTTCACTCTGTTTCGTCCCTGCTACACCCCAGGCACTGCACTGCATACTGCGGATACAGACCTGAGACATTTCTCAGGAATTGCTTTTCTGCTATACTCACAAACTCTAGGTGCTTTCCCTTATTCCTGCTCTAACAAACCATCAACATGAAATGATCTCCTTGCCTATAACTCTACACAATAGTGGATTCGTTCATATAAGCCTGTGTTTAGACAAGTTCAAGACAAGCATGTCTTTGTACAAAGAAGCTTTGAAAATGAAGGAAACAAGATCATGTTTCAATTCATTTTATAAAGGGAGGAAGAGTGTCACATTGTTAGGTCATTTCTAGGACTTGACTGCCTCACTGAATTACCAACTTACCAATAAACATTCAGCAATTTGTTCTCTCATTATGACTGTAGAAGCTCATATCCGATGTAGTCACCAGTGAGGAGATGTGGAGTGGTACTTACCCTGTAAGTCTGGAGTGTGCTGAGTGTTAGTAGATTAATAATATTGCTTGAAAATAACTAAATTCATGAAATGAACAAGTTTATTTTACTATGTGCATATTTAAAAATTCTTTTGGTTCATTGAAATTGTTTTCTCTAATTTAGGGTTTTTTTTTTAACTTGGCTTCTCTAAAAATTAACCCCAGGATTTTTGTGATTCTCCCAAAAATATTATGCAGAAATGTGTATGTGAGAGTGCACACACACACAAGTACATTTTTCTGTGGAGAAGGGTCTGTAGCGGTCAACAAATCCTCGGAGGGATCTTTGACAATAAAAGAGTAGGAACAAGTGCTCTACCTGGTGAGTTAATTCATGGGGGAGAAAACGGGGTTAGACCAAATGATCGCTAAGGTTTTATCTGGCACCTAGTAAGGCAAGTAGAGAAAGGGTTGTCCCCGTTTTGTATCTAGAGACACTGGAATTCAAACAAAATAGTTGGCTCTTCTGGATAATTCATCTAACGGGTAATGAAACTCAAGTCTGGGGCCGATGTCTTCTAATCCATGCTCTTTCAACTATAATGACAGGAGGAGCAAATTTGGAATTCTGATATAAAATCCAGCCATCAATATAAGCCCACCAAGAGAGCTATTCTCTTACATTTGCCCTTCCCCACTTTGTCCCCAAGATGTGGCCTATAAACCTTACCCTTATCCACCAAAACATAACCCCCTGGAATAGATGGCTCTTCACGTCCTGTTGGGAGGAAGTCTTTAAGCCATTTCAAGGGAGACAACACCAGGGCACAGCAAAATCTCTTCACGGCCTTTGGTATATATTTCATGAGTTACACGTATTTCCAGGAACTCTTTTTCAGGCTGAAAATGATTTCCTCCTGTCTTGAGGAATCTGACCTATCCCCAGAAATTATCATCTATTTAATTGGAATCCGGGGAGCCAGTTTATGGGTGTATTCCTTACCTGAGATGTACAGGTGAGTATATTTAACCTACTCCATACATTTTCATAAAACTCATTTGGGTAGCCCAAGAGTGTCAGCCAATCCAGCAGTCCTATATCTGGCAATCCCACAGTAGGCATTTTCGGTGAACCTCATTCTTCGTCTCCTGACAGTTCAGCTGAGGGGGACAGCTCTCCCATCTTAGAGAAGCCTTGGGCCTTGATATTAACTTAGCTTTCCCAAATGTGAGTTTCTCTAACAGCTACTAGAGGTATTCACCTTTCTCCCCACAAGAGAGACCTATGCTAAACTTCCTTTTACATCTGTAGGGGTTTTTTTGGAAGGGGGAGGGTTCTGATCTTCAAGTGGGATGACAAAATTGGACGCGTGATCCACCCTGCAGACATTTGCTGCGAGTCCACAGTGCGCCAGGCACTGGGAATACAAAGACAAGCAAGAAGGCCTGCCTCGAGAGAGGCAGGCTGGTGAAGACATATTTAAATGAAATAATATTAATTATTTCATTTGAAATAATGAATTATTGTGCTGGAATTATATCTGTGTGGAAAGGGCAAAAGAGGTCATAGGATAGGTCTGTTAGGACTCTCGGTTGCAAGTGATAAAAACCCAAGTCACACTAGCTTGAGCAAAAAAGGGAAAGATGGTGGCTCATGTAACTGAGGGGAGTACCAGCTTAAAGCACAGTTGACTCCATCGGCTTCAACTGTGTCACCTGGTTACTCCAGCTCCCTAATGCCATCCTTCCCTCCTCCTCCCCTCATTTCTCTCCTTGCCTTGTTCTCTCCCTGCTCCCATGTTTCTTTTTTCCTTCTCTTGTCCTTTCCCTCCTTCCTCTTCCCCTTTTCTCTCTCTTCTTCTCACCATGCCACATGGAAGAAAGATGATGTAAGAAGCCCCAAACTGGCTTCTTTACAGAAAGAAAGACTCTTTTTGCTCGTGTCCCCATGGCAAATTTCATGGAAGGATTGATCAAATCTGCTTAGGTTACTTGCCCACCCCCTGTGACCAGGGGTGAGTGGGACAGTGGGATTGAAAGACCTGGAACCACGGAGGATGAAAGGAGCCCTTCCTTAATGGAAGGAGAGTTCTAGGCAGACACAAACATGTCTGTTACAGTCAGAGATGCAAGAAGGCTTCATAAATACAGCTTCATAAATACTTAACCTGTATCTTTAAATATGAGAGATGTTTACCACAAAAACAGAGTGATGGGCATAAAATAGCATAGCATATTTGGGAAAATGGAACATCTCAAATGGGGCTGAAAAAAATGAAAAACCGCAAGAATGCATAGGAGAGACAGAAGACACTGCAACAGGGACAATACATCTCTGAAGAAATCTTAACTCACAAAGCAATGGAGTTTTTATCTATTCGTTCAATTTGGTACATGAAAACAAGTACTGATTTGTGCACAGCACTGAATTACATATTTTAGTGGATACCGATGACATTACTGAGATGCCATACCAATTCTTCAGCCATAGAGTATAAGACCAGCATGCTGGAAAACCATAGACAAGTTCTATCGTATCCCAAATATTTGATTTACCACCATAATTCAGGCTTTGAAATATGGTTTGTTATGGTTTAAACTGAATCTGGAAATTGAATCTAAAGACATCAATGATAAATTTACTATAAGCCTTCACTTTCTAAAATTCACATTTATGGGGTTTGAAGCAGATCAGAAGACAACTTTTATTCCATTTGCTGTTGTGCAAGAGTAGATAGTTCTACAACATTTTGATAGAATGACTTTTTTACAGTGATTGTAAATTATCATCATCCCCAGAATTCTCCTAAACTACTGTGATCTGAGGCCACAAGTTGTTAAAGACTAGTCTCACCTTATTTTAGTTTCAGCACAACCTAAATAGTTGAACACGGCTATAACATAGCTTTCTTGCAAGAAAATATCTGTAATTTCTCAAAACAATATGGAATGAAATGGAAAAACTAACCATCTCTATGTCTTTCATTTTAAATGACAAATGTGTGCTCTGGAGGATTTCTAGATGGTGCAATACAGGCCATGAATCAGAACAATGAGAATAAAGGGCTCTTCTTTCCTGGGAGTTTAATACTGGCCCCTCTCTTAATGTCAATAGGGGGAGAAATATACGAGAGGGAATGAGGTTTGCCAATTAATTGTCATTCTGTCTTTGGAGGTCTGGAGCCTGGTTTGTTATTAAGAAGTTAATTCCACCCACTTAAGGAGTATATTTGCTAAGGGTGACCTCTCTACTTCCAAGTGGAGGAGGAGGTATCTTCATCTCTTCTTTCCTCCCACTCCAGCTTCTTGGAGCTGGAAGGAGGGCATGAATTGGCACTGAAACTTCTCCCAGTCCCTCCCCAGTGACCTGAGGCCCAGCCCTGCTCGTGAGTTGGGCCAGGGAGGAAAGAAGAAAAGGGGACAAGAGGCTCTTTATAAACTGGCTCCCACTGTGGTCCTCTCATCTGATGGTCTCTGTTCACCCTGACCACTGATGCCTTTCGTGTAGCTGGCATCCGATGTTCCTCTTTCTGGAATGCACGCAAGTGTTTTCAGAGGGCTCAGCCTTCTTATATAGTATATGCACAGTTTCTTGTCCTGGGATATCAAACTCCTGCCTTGTCTCTTCCAACCCTCAACCCCCTCCAAATGTTATCTCCTTTCTCCATCCCGACAGCTCTCTCTGATTCACTTCACTCCACGCTCACATAAGCACGGGGTAGCAGGTCAGCAAATTCTCGGCATGATCAGACATTAGACAAGCTAAGGAATTGTCCTTATTTGCATAATTTACATAGTACAATTCAACTTATGTAACGTTGTGATCATACTGTCTGGAAGAATCTTACCAAAATGGTGTAGTGATTACCCTGGGTGGGGAATTAGGGCCTGGTTTTACTTTCTCCTTTATTATTATTTTTATCTGATGGAATTAACTAGGAAAATTTCCCTAATTTCTAAAGAATATAAATTCCCTATATTAAAAAGATCACTCTCCAAATGTAGAAAAAGATAGTATGGTTTTGATCACAGAAACCAACACCACATAGTAGATGTAGATACTTCATGGGGCAGCAACCAAGCACACAATTGTGCCCCTTCTCTGGGCTGTGTCTATACTACTTGGTTTGATCCCTTGGCAAAGCTGATTACTCAAAGAGAGTAGGATGGCTGACTTGAGCTGGGCCAAGCAGATTCTTCTTCCTGGAATTAAATTGAGTTAAGATTTATACATAGTAAAACTCACAAGTCTTAAATGTACAATTTGCTGAGTTTTGACAAATATATACATTCATGTAATCAATCCTCCAGTCAAGATTTGGAACATTCCCATCACTCTAGAATATCCCTCATCTCCACTCGCAGCCAGTCCCCACCCATGATAGGCAACC